GCATTGAACGTTGTTCACAGTGAACAGATTTGAAAGGTTACACTCAATGACATTGAACATTGTATAGATCAAATGTTATCGAACTGTTGATATGAATCCTGATAAAATTCGAAACGATTCTCTTTTATCGTTAAATATATTTCGTGAATTATCGTAACACTGCATTTATATGCATGACGTATGTATTTATACACCAACAAGCTAACGAGCCTGTTCAAGGATTTGTCATATCTGAAATATAATTTTAATAATAATAATAATAATATATTCAACTACATAAAAACCGATATTTTTTTAAAAATATGATAATCCGAGTACCTATATCAAAACTATTTTTAAGGAGCTGTACATAGTCTTACAGGATATCATGGTAGCCACATCAGATCTATCTATCTCATCGTTGTAAGATCGAATTTACTGAATTCCAGTAGATATCTATTATTATTATTTTTTAAACAGTTAAATAAAGTTTTAACCAATAAACTGTAATTAACTAATTCACATATTTTAAATTATTATTAAATAGTATAGAATTTTACAATCTCATTTGATACGTGTTAATATTTTTTTCGACTATGACGGAGAAATAATTAAAGCAAAAAATGTAAATATAATATTACGTTTTTTTTCAATTCAGGCGCGTCCAATTATTTCAATGACCTCATTGTAAATCTAATATGGTGGACTCCCAAAGATGGCGGACTATTTTCTTATGTACTCCTAAGTATGTTTTTTTATGGATTTCAAATGAAAGGCTTTGCTGAGAAGAATACGAAAAAAAAACATTTGGTAAAAAAGTTTTAACATAAAAAAAACAAGCTTTCCTTTAAGTGCCCTAAAAACAAAAAAGTATAACGTTTTAGTGCTTACATAAGTACACACACACTTTTTTTTTATTCTTAGTTTACGGCTTAGGTTATTAAGTAATAAGAATATATAAAACAAGCGAGAACGCTATACCTGTGTCTCTTGTAAAAAATGCAAGTCGGACTAATATTGAATGTTATTTCCAACTTCATATTGGTCGAATATATTTTAGATATTGCACTAATCGGCCCCATACAGAATGTATCATTATTGGAAATTAACAGAGGAAAAACCACAAAAAATCTCTATGAAATATTAACGTAATCATGCTATTATTTCATGGAAAAGTATTGGAGGCAAATAGCTAAGTCGTATCCACTTAAATTCAATATCAACATGTATTATTCCTCACATTTTAAATATTTAACATTCTACAGGATCTAGAAAAAAACATGACGTTCTGGAAAGATTTATTAAAATTCATATGAATATCAATTTTCGTTGATCGCTCGCTCCATCGCGCTTTGTCAGTTGTTAGGTGTCAGGCCACGTGAGACCGTGGTTATATCAGTGCATCGAGCACTAAGTTTTCGCCCCACTTGTGACGTTTTGCTAAGTACTCATATACCTGCAAGTAAGGTTAGTCTATTTATATATATTTACTAAATAACTTCATTCCAACTTGATGCAGCCAATATATAAATAGAATGCATACCGACCCATGCGTCATATTCACGTGCGTATACCTACATTATTTTAAGTTGGCAGCATTGAACGTTGTTCACAGTGAACAGATTTGAAAGGTTACACTCAATGACATTGAACATTGTATAGATCAAATGTTATCGAACTGTTGATATGAATCCTGATAAAATTCGAAACGATTCTCTTTTATCGTTAAATATATTTCGTGAATTATCGTAACACTGCATTTATATGCATGACGTATGTATTTATACACCAACAAGCTAACGAGCCTGTTCAAGGATTTGTCATATCTGAAATATAATTCCCTTATTATGGAATTAATAATAATAATAATATAATCAACTACATAAAAAGCGATATTTTTTAAAAAATATGATAATCCGAGTATATCAAAACTATTTTTAAGGAGCTGTACATAGTCCTACAGGATATCATGGTAGCCACATCAGATCTATCTATCTTATCATTGTAAGATCGAATTTACTGAATTCCAGTAGATATCTATTATTATTATTTTTTAAACAGTTAAATAAAGTTTTAACCAATAAACTTTTATTAACTAATTCACATATTTTAAATTATTATTAAATAGTATAGAATTTTAAGGTATTCCATTACTTTAACAGCTACAATCTCATTTGATACGTGTTAATATTTTTTTCGACTATGACGGAGAAATAATTAAAGCAAAAAATGTAAATATAATATTACGTTTTTTTTCAATTCAGGCGCGTCCAATTATTTCAATACTTATAGCTAGTTGCTTTACCTTCTAAGAAGGACGTTCATATCCAGGTATTTATTACTCATTTAAGTTTAAGCCGCAGATACAATACAATTTTTAACATTTTTACTTTTTAGCTTTATATCACTCAGATCTCACTTTTGCGGCTAATACCTGCGGTTATATAAATGAAATTTAGATCACTGAACATACGGCGAATTTGTACAATAACCTACCTGTATGTAAAATTGTTTATGTTTCCAAGAAAAAAAGATATAGTAATTTATATTTTTTAAGCACTGGTTTCTACGTAAATTTTTGATTGTAGTTCGAAACGGCCATTTGTTTTCTAAAATACTCTATAAGTGCCTAAAATCTTACAAAATGGATACCAGAGTTTGATTTCTTTTCAGAAATGACATAGAAATATAAAGCCTGTATAAAATTATAATTTTTGCATGAAAATTTCGCCCATGGCGGCCAATCTCACTAAGACTATTATAGTGCACAAATATAAAGCGCTAAGACAGAAGTGCAGAGTTTTACGAATATTATACTAATATATTACGGGAACCAATTGAGATTAGAAAGATAAAAAAAAGTTAGTCCATATACTATCTCCATGAAAAAAATACGTCAATCGTTTCTCTCTGATGAGTCACTGATCTACACAATTATTATAGAAAGTAAAGTTAATAAGATTATGAATTTGTAAGATTGGCGTTAGAATAATCTTTTAAACTACTCAAGATCTCTTGTTCTATCTGATTCTGAAAATTCTAGCTTGCCATTTTATTACCAGTGTTTTCTGTCAAAAATCATAATAACTATTAAATTTGAAGTCAAAATGAAACTAGCTGTTGAGTTACTTTATGTGCGTGCGCTGATTAAACAGTTTGAACTAAAGAATTAAAATGTACAGATAGGCGTATGTCACTAGTTACTTTAGAGACTGTGAGATGAAGACTGTGACTCTTTAACTATTGCTAATACTATTCTCTATTATCTGTCGTGCCAAATTAGCTCGCTTTCAAAGGCTGGCACTGTCTGCTACCAGTGGATTCATGAAAACAACCCCCACAGCAGCAATAGAGGTTGCGCTCCAAACAACACCCCTGGACCTATTCATACAGCAAGAAGCGACCATGGTTGCTATAAGACTGATGCACTTAGGTCTATGGGGCAAAAACCACCATAGTCCACACACATCCATCCTGGATAGAGCAATAGGACACGAACCACTTATTGCTACCCTGTGTGACAGAACACACAATAAATATGTATATATTTAACCAAAGATAGATAATAATAAGTATGAGAGAAGAGGAACAAGACCACTCACCTGCCAATGAGCTACGTGTTTATACTGATGGCTCTAAGACACGAGAAGGCTCAGGAGCTGGTCTATTTTCCCTTGATCTCAACATCAAAACACAAATACCATTAGGCATACACAGCTCGATTTTCAGCATAACGGAAGCCGCAAGAACCGTGCACGGTCGTGGGGTAAGCAACTGCAATATAAAAATACTCTCCGACAGTGTAGCAGTTCTGCAGGCGCTAAATAACAAACAAACCAACAACAAACTAATAATTGAATGTCATAACGCCCTGGACTTGATATCAACAACAAATCAAGTCACCCTTCAATGGATCAGGGCACACAGTGACTTACTTGGCAACGATGCAGCTGATGAACTTGCAAAGAGGGGGTCAAAACTAGAAGTGACTGGCCCATACCCGCTTCTCCCCATACCCTTTGCACAGATTCGCACCTGGATCTGCCAAAGATCCACGACGTTACAAAACAACAGATGGTCGCAAACTGCAGACTGCAGAGAATCTAGATCAGCTCTGCTTGCAGTAAACCCACGACTAACAAAACGCTTACTAAACCTCAATAGAACAAATCTTAAAATAATGATAGGGACGATAACGGGCCACTGTCCCTTGAACAACAACAACAAACACTTATATAACATCGGCGCAACAGACACCCCTCTGTGCAGAGGGTGCCTCGGCGCTGAAGAATCAGTTGCCCACGTAATCCTGGAATGCGTAGCGGTAACTTCTCAACGTGAAGAAATCCTCGGACCAGTGAGGTCGCTCCGCGAAGCCTGTGAAGTTCCCAGGAAACTTCTGCGCTTCTGGGCGGAGCTCGGCTGGCTAATATAGCCAGGATTCGCACGCACAACGGACCAGAAGGGAGTCTAAGTGCAGAAAACGAGTCCACATTACATTACTGTCGTGCCAAACTACAAATTAGAATTAAAAGCACGTCATGCGCGTTCAAAATGAGAACTAAAACAAAAAATATACTAATTTTCCTAGAAAATAACAATTTCGTATAAACTTTCATTCGCTCTTCACGTTATAGCGAATGAAAGTTTATACGAAATTGTTTAGTTTTAAAATTACACGTATTTTGTTAAAACAGTTTTATTACCCATTGTGACCACGGCTCATACTTGTATGTTAAAAAATGAGACCAAAAAGCAGTTAGTAGAAAATATAGTACCTCAAAATGGACAAAAATTAGATTAGTCGTTCATGAGTAATTAATGTGAAATAATGAAATGTAAAATTTTTAAAATGAAAAAGCAAATAGAGCGCTAATTATAACTTAGTATATCGAGAAAAATCTTTGAGTGGTAATTTTTAATTTGGGAAAATAATGTGTTCTACCACAAAACTTAAAATTCGACAAATATCGTCTTCAGCAGTATTTTAATATATTTTTTTATTTTTTATTGTTTTACAGATGGATTTCATTTTCACATGGCTCATAACATTCGTTTTGGGATTTTGGATATTTAAAAAAATAAGCCAGTGGAAGGGACTACCACCAGGCCCTTGGGGCTTACCAATCGTTGGCTATTTGCCATTTTTAGATAGAGACCAACCGCATTTGACATTAACAAATCTGTCCAAGCAGTTTGGTCCAATATATGGTATATCAATGGGCAATGTGTATACTGTTGTACTTTCTGATCATAAACTAGTCAGAGAAGCTTTCGCAAAAGAAGTATTTTCTGGACGGGCCCCATTATATCTGACACATGGAATAATGAAAGGAAATGGTAAATTGAAACTACTATATAAATTGAAATTTTATCATTGTAGTATAATTTTTAAAACAATCCTTAATTTTAAATATGACAGGTATCATCTGTGCTGAGGGAATACTTTGGAAAGACCAGCGTAAATTAATAACGTCATGGCTAAAAAGTTCTGGAATGAGTAAGCATAGCGTGGCTCGTGATAAATTGGAGGAACGTATTACTGCTGGTGTCACCGAGCTATTAAGAGTACTATCATCTAGTTACATTTTCGAAATTCCAATTCAATAGATTTTCTCCTATAATGTTATTATAATTTTTAACATATCTAATTTTAGAATAATAAATATGTTAAGTTGGTTTTAGACATTATATAATGATTTATTAGTTACATATATTTATCTCGAGGATACTAAAATATTTAAACATGAACGGTTTTTATACCTAACAAAACCCGTCATTAATTCTTGAAAATGACCTTTTAATGGCACTGACAAATGTTGCTAAGACTAGCAAAAAATAAGAATTTCGTTTTTACAAGGTGTTCAAGACTACTTGCCATTCATAAAACATCCATTTTTTATACGCATTTTGTCATGATTTGTGTATTGTTTAAAAATAATTTTCAGGACATAAAAGGAGAATCGGGAGCAACTATTAATTTAACTAATTTGATCACAAATTCATTGGGAAATGTTGTTAATGATGTTATTTTTGGCTTTAAATTTCCACAAGAAGATAAAACATGGCAATGGTTTAGAAAAATTCAAGAAGAAGGATGTCATGAAATGGGTGTAGCAGGCGTTGTAAATTTTCTGCCATTCATACGGTTAGTTTCTATTTTGATAATTTTCAGGATGGCTACATTTATAAGAAAAAATAAATAATTGCGTTATAACTCGTTAATCAAACACACAACTGCATAAAATGAATGTGTATATTTTAATCTACTGCTAAACAAAACTTGCAGATTTATATTCCCGTCTATTCAAAACACTATGGAAGTATTAATTCGCGGACAAGCTCAAACTCATCGATTGTATGCTAGTATTATAGCTAAACGTCGAAAAATGCTTGGCTTAGAGATTCCGAAAAATGCAGAATTTGCAGAACATTCTGAAATTTTTAATGAACATCCCGAAGGGTTTATAAAATGTATCAAATATAGTAAACATACATCTTCTGCAGAAGTTCATTATTTTGATCCAAATGTCCTTATTCCTTCGGAAGAAGAATGTATATTAGATAATTTTTTACAAGAACAAAAGAGAAGATATGACAATGGTGAAGAATATTCTTATTTTATGAGGGATGAACAGATGCATTATCTTTTGGCGGATATGTTTGGTGCGGGTCTAGATACAACCGCGGCAACACTTTCATGGTATTTATTATATATAGCTTTATTCCAAGAAGAGCAGGTGCGTAATCTATACATATAATAAAATTGTAACTAAGCCGAATCTGTACATTGAATATTTTTTGGAATTTTTTATTGAAATAGACTTTAATATCGATACAGAGGCCGAATCTATAGTTTTTAAAATTTTTGTCTGCCTGTCTGTCTTTCTGTCTGTCTGTCTGTTACCGCATCACGGAAAAACCACTGGAGGGATTTTGATGAAATTTGGTATGGGATAACTGGTTATCCGGGCCAACATATAGGATACTTTTTACCACGGGAAAATATCTCATTTCTGAGAAAAAAAGCAAAAACTGCAATGTAAGAGTATACTAATATGTAAAACCTAAGAGTTAGGTTTTTCTCATTTGAACGCGGGCGGAGCCGCGGGCAATACTAGTTAATATATAACAATAATTATATTTTGAAACAAACAAAAAATAACTAAGTACTTTTTACAGGAAAAAGTAAGAAAAGAAATTTTATCTGTTTATCCTGAGGAATGTCAGATTGAACATACAAAACTGCCTTACCTTATGGCTACGATTTGTGAAGCACAACGTATACGTTCAATTGTTCCAGTAGGCATTCCTCATGGATGCTTACACGTAAGTCGCAATGCTTTAGTATTTTTATATTCAAGGGAAATTCAAAACCTTTAAAGAATCACAAGAATCACGCGCATATCTTAGTCTGTTAAGCTACTTGGTGGCAACTGAATTTAAGACATGAATGCCAACCTATTGGAGTAAAGATAATGGCCGATTTATGGATCAAGCTAGTAAAAATAAGTCAAATTCATGAGATAAAAGCGACTTCACCACCTACATTAATAAAACTTTTTTTATTCTCATATTTACGAATTCAAAATCAAAGCCACTGATAAAAATTACGAACAAAATAAAAACCGACTTCAAACAAAAGCACTAAAAAGTAAAAAAGAACTGATTGGTAGTTTTCATTTACTATACATACCTAATCAAATATTTTCGAAATCGGTGCCAGCCCATACAAAGCAAAGCACACCGACTTCCAAAATATTTGATTAGGTATGTATAGTAAATGAAAACTACCAATCAGTTATTTTTTACTTTTTAGTGCTTTTGTTTGAAGTCGGTTTTTATTTTTTTGTTAAAAAGTTTTTATTTTCCCTTTTTAGTGTAGACAGTAGTAGCAAAGTAAGAATTCTAACGTGTTAGGCTTGTCAAATCAAACAAAATAAGCCCAAACTCAAAGTATCTACTGTTAGCCGTTGAAGAGTTCCACCTATTCACCTTCTGGCCTTACCATCAGATCAGGTCAACAATACCGAACCAATGTACTATCAACGGAAATAGAAACAATTGCAAAGTTTCAAGTCAATATGACAATTAGAAGTAGGTTAAATTCATCATTAGCTGTTTTTCCACCCTTAGGGGTGGTATTTTTTTTGAAATTTAAATGGGACCAATCTGGAAGTATACGATTTCAAAAAAATACAAAAATTGTCCAAATCGGTTAATAAATGATGGAATTCTGAGGTAACAAACATAAAAAAAAATACAGCCGAATTGAGAACCTCCTTCTTTTTGAGGAAGTCGGTTGAAAAAATTGCAATTTTACCAGCGATATTGAAAAGTAGATTTTTACATGATTAAAATATGCGGTGTAGCTAATCTATGGCTAGTTAGCACAGAATGCTGTTTTTTTAGGAAGAACCCCAAGGACCTGAACATTTGCTCAATTATAGAACTTAAAATATGTTATAAATATTGACTAAGTATAGCATGTGTTTGCTAGCTACTATATGAAAAGCGCGGTCTAATAATTACATCATCTTAATAGTTACATGTATATTTATTCTTTAATATTATTGCTCCTAGGATACATATCTAGGAAATTATAGAATTCCAAAAGGTACAATGGTCGTGCCTCTACAGTGGGCAATTCATATGGATCCTAACGTATGGGAAGATCCTGAAGACTTTAAGCCAACTAGATTCCTTGATGAACATGGAAATTTGTTAAAACCTCAAGAATTTATACCATTTCAAACTGGTAATTTTTTTTCTTAGATTTACGCGAATATTGACATTTTAAATAAAACTATCTTTTCAGATTAATTGCGGATTTATTTTGATTTTTGGTTCCCGACGTTTTGAATGCTTTACAGCAATCATGGTCACGGGATAGACTAAGGTTTTAGACGTCTCGAATGTGTTATATACTTATTACAGACAGTGCCTATCCACTATTTTACAAGATGATTTCTAAAACTCAAAAATGGCACCAAAATACCTTACAATATTTGTTAATTTTAATTCTAAACATTTAAAAAATATATAATTAAATATAGCGATATTATTTATTAAATTTTAACTGTTATTATTATAAATAAATATTACATTACGTTTTAAAAAACTTTATTAATTACTTATATTATTTAGTGTTGCTATTATTATATTATGTTTACCCATAAAGAATATTAAATATTAAATAATACTAATTATTTATTTAAGCAATATTATTGTTTTATATGTAATTTAAAAAGAAGTTAAAATATTAATTTAAGCAACACTATTGCTACCTTTATAGACAAAAAAAATTAATCAGAATTACTATTATTGCGATCCACACAGTATGTACTAATTACATATAATGGTCTGTTATGTTTGATTTTGTTGTTAGATTTTATTATATTTATTACATGATCCCACGATGATAGTAGTACCCAGCCATCTTCCCTATTGAAGTTTGGATATTTTATTGATTTCAATAGCTTATTGTAGCCTATTTGTGGATTATTAAAGCGAATGTAGTGGCTTGGGTTATCCTGGCTATGCTTACAGATATGTAGATATTGTATTGAGACGGTGCTTCACATAATCTCTTTGTTTGTCCGATGTAGGAGATCCCATAATCACAACCAAGTTTGTATACCCCTGCATCTTGGAGAAGGATGTTACACTTGACTGGTGGTAAGAATTGACACAGGGAGGTGTTCCACTACTGTGGGCGGTGGGATATTTGTATTCTTTACTATGTCAACTTCAAGAAAGAAAGTCGTCAATATTCATGTTCAGAAGTCACTCGAAAAGGTCTAAGTGCTCTACTGGGATACTTAAAAAAATCTTGTGCGACCTTTAAGTATTTAAATATCGACTTGATAATTTCAAAATCCTAATCATTTTTATAATAGAAAATAGTGAAATAACGAGAAACAAAAAATAAAAAAGAAAAACATAAATTTTCAATTATTTTGGAATTTTTAAAAAATTTAGAGCGACCTCTTAAAAATTATTGGTTGAACTGTGCTTTGAAGGGGAATCTTAAAACATGATAAACATAATATTTTCGTAAGAGACTCGAAAAGAGAAAAATATTTGATTTTTTTGGGCCACCCTAATGTATAATGTATATATTATAGTCTATTCTATTCTATACTTACCGTTAAAACGTACCTAGGGACGAACCCGAGCAAAGCGAGAGCGAGTCGCTAGCTTATAATAATAACAAGGTATTTATAATAATAACAGCTAAAATTAAATAAATACTATTTCTATATTTAATTATAATATTTATTATTTTTTCCAATGTTTAGAATTAAAATTAACAAATACTACGTACTTTGGTGCCGTTTTAGAATTTTTGAAATCATTTTTTTAAAATAGTGGGTAGGCATCGTCTTTAACAAGTATACAACACCTTTGAGAGGTCAAAAACCTTAGTCTCTCCACCATGATTGCTGTAAAGCATTCGAAACGTCGGGAATCAAAAATCAAAATAAATCCGCGAAATAATCCGAAAAAATAGTTTTATTTAAAATGGTAATTTTTACATAAATAAATAAATAAATAAAGAATTAATTATTTTTGACTGTTTGCTTAGTTAGTTAAGTTAGTATAATAAAAAAATGTTTTTTATTTTATATGTATGTAATGTACATAACACGATGTATAAATCGGTTTTTAAAAATGGTTGGTTCATTACGAGTTATTTAGAGTTATTTAATTACCAGTACTGGTTGTCTTCAAAAATATCTTATTTTTATTTTAGGAAAACGCATGTGTCCTGGAGATGAACTTTCTCGTATGCTATCCGCCGGACTAATAGTGCGTCTATTGCGATCGTTTCGAGTGCGCCTTGTTTCCGATCCTCCCACGACTAAAGAAATGCAAGGAAAGGTCGGTGTGACTTTATCAGCCCCAGACGTTTTGTTTATTTGTGAAAGCCTATAAGTTTCTTTCGAGCTTTTGGTTGCATTTATTAAATATTGCGAGATTTGCTTTTATAGATAGATATTGTAGCATTTATAGTTACAGAATACAGATTTTTCGTGATAAATGATTGTTTTATTTTTTTCTTAAAAAAAATAAAATCTCTGACAAAGTAAGGTAATAGTCATGTAAAATTTATTTGATTAGGTATAATAAAAGTCATTTTTCTTCATAATACATGTATTTCAAAAAGGAAATTATTAAAATAAAAGTAAATTTTAAATTAATGATTACCATAAACTACTTACTTTTAATCTTATTAATAAGTAATGTAATGTTTACAAAGCTAAGGTAAATATTGGTAATATATTCTAGAAATGAGTTGTAACTCAATATTTGTTGTAAGGCAACTTGGTTGCTAACAAAACGTTTTTTTAAATATAAAAACATTATTACCAATGTTGAAAAATTAAAAATTATACACTTATAGCGACAAACCTTACCGCTCTTAGACTAGTTGCTGGTTCCTACTCTACCATGGAATGTTACTTAGTATATTACACATGATAGGTACATATTTTACTAAAATTGTAAATAATAAATGAACACAAGAAAAAACTTACTGCAATACTATTATTCTACTCACACGAAACTCATTTAATCTGAGATCACACTCAACAGAAAACTTTCTTTTATGTTACCTATTAATAAATAACGATTATAACATACATTTATTTTGGTATAGGAAACTAGAGCTTAAAACTTCATTGAATTAACCACATTTCTTTACACTTCTATGTATCTGATTCAAGTCGATCTCATAGATCACCAATCTAAACATAATACTGAAATTAAAATTACAATTTATAATGTCAACGATGGGCATTACAGTACACCTAAAGTTCGGTTTACTACTTTATTGAACACTTTATGCACAGCCTCGACATTCACCGGAGTGATATCGTCACTTATTAATAAACTTAATTAAGATTGTCATCGATGCGCTCTAAAACGAGTGATCATGAAATACTGGTGGGTATGTTGTGGCAAAGTGAATGGCTCGCCTAGTGCGCGCCGACATGGCGTAGGTGCGGGTGGTCGTGCAGGACGACCGCAGGCGGAGCGGGTGGCGCACGCGGGACGAACTTGACGCGGAACGGTTCCGGTGCAATGGTTGCACCCACTGTGCCTTCCAACGAAGGTGGGGCCGCACCAGATTCAGTTTGCAAGTCAAATTGATGCATTATAGCGGCAAAAAACATAAACATTTCTACGCGAGCCAAAACATCACCCAGGCACATTCGACGACCGACACCGAAAGGCATAAAATATTCAGGTCGTTTGATTTTGCCAGTCTCGTCGATAAATCTGCTCGGATTAAATTTATTAGGTTCTACCCAGAGATTTGGATCCATATGTACGCAGTTAATTAATGGAACAACCTGTGAGCCCGCTGGAATTCTATAGCCATTAAGGTGGACGTCTCTGAAAATAACATAAAGAGTTATTAAATTGTAATTATGCATAAATTGCTATTCGTCTCAAAAAGTCATAAAATATACTGTTAAAAAATTTACAATGATTCTTACTTTGTAGGGCAATGTGTAGTAGCAAGAGGAACAATGCTTGACATACGGAGAGTCTCAAGAATGGTAGTTTCAGTATATGGTAAATTGGGCATATCTTCAATGGTTGGAAGTCTATCACGACCAACCACTCTGTCTAGTTCTTCTTGTACTCGTCTTTTTACGTCAGCATTTCTTAGCATAAAAACAATCATCCACAGGAGTGAGGATTTTATAGTTTCCATGCCAGCAGAAAATAAGTCTCCTAAGATCTGTTTTAGTTGCAATTCTGTAACAAAGTATAAAGCTTAATACAATTGCAACGTGTATAATAATAATATATAAAATATAACTTTTTAATATAAAGTGCAGAGTCTTATCAATTTCATATATATTTTTTTCTTATAAAGTTATTATTACTTACCATGATCTCTCCCTTCAAATAACTCTCCATCTCTTCCTTCGATCTTAGCCTTTTCGATTTCAATTAAATAAACGTCGATAAGATCTCTAGAGTTGTTGATATCGAGAGTTTCCCTATGTTCATCAATTAAATTTTGATAGAAAGCAAACATTTCTTCGCGATTTTTTGCAACTTTTTCTTGAATGAGAGCTTTCCCGGGAAGATACTGTAAGAAAATATGATTTTAAAATTTTTGTTTTAACAACAGAAAGTCTACTTTTATGTGTTTAATGTTTATGTATATAAGTTTATTTATTGTATATGTTTTTTTATTATATGTAAATGGTATTTTATTTTAAGGAAGAAGAAAATTCTAGAAGAATTTATAAGTCTTACTCACGTTATATAGAGGAATATATTCTCCGTAGTGAATTTCTCCAAAAAGCCTCATGCCTTCTTCGATTAAATGATTAAGTCTTGCAAATCGTGCGTCGCCGTGACTAAAACGCAATGACATGGTGATACCGCAGATCACGTTAGATACGCCCAGGGCGAGTAGAGGGTTTGGATCTAATAACTCACACTCTGAGCGTTGCAAGTTCCCAATTAACTCTTGAACTTCACACTAGTAATAAAAATTTCTATTAGTTTCTTGAATATCAAATACTTTGTAAATATTATGAAAATAAATTTTAATAATTAGATATGCAAGATAACATTTCAAATATCTGTAAGCATACCTTAATTCGGGCTTCCATAACTTTCTTGCCATTGCCCATGTAAGTCATGCCAAATTCACGCAGTTTCTCATGTAAGAACCGACGTTGGCTTTTCCAAAGACGTCCCTCACTATTGATGATACCTGCACACAGGGTGGAGTTAGGGCTATGAATTTGGGTTTTGCGGCTACTAAGAGCTACTATTTATCTAGCTCAATTCTTTTGTTAATTATATAATTAAATATATAAAAAATATTATTTTTTTGAATATTAAACATTTATTTTTTTATTTTAATTAACTATACATTTTTTTGAAGCACGCTATGATTCTTAATTTACAGCACATTCAAGTTATACATTTATATTTACCTAAACCATCCAAAATGTGCATTAACGGAGTACTAGGCCGTCCGGTAAACTCTTCTCTGCGGAAAGCTTCTCTAATCAATTTGTAGTCGCTCATTACTACCGTTAGCTGATTGCCAAGACGAGCAGAAAAGAGACCACCATAACTTCTTGCAAGCTCCAAAAATTTTTTGTGACGAACTCCAAGGAAGGGAAGATAACCAACAACTGGCGGGCTCCACGGTCCTGGCGGCAACTTTTGGATCTCACGCACTAAATTTATTAGCCGCATTACCAAAAATGTCACGCCAACGGTCAGCAGCAACGGCAGCGACGTACGTGAAGAACAGTAGCTCACCACTTGCCACAGTCCCCACAACAACTTAGAATTTGTTAGCATTGTTATCATTTTGAATTTAATTTATATTTCCGTAACAAAAAAATATTATTTTTACAAATCAACTAAATATAACATAAGTGCGCGGAGAATTATTAATCGTGAGAACGCGATGTTCTAAGCACTTTAATCGTATACCGCGTGCGACTGTCGTCTGCGCACTGGCGCGGCGCTGGCGTGGCCTTGCGAATAAATACGTGCGGGTGGCGCGCGCGCAGGTTCGTCCCACCGGCACTCCTCTCTCCGCGGCTTTTCCGCTGGCTTGCTTGCTACGAAGCGTAGCGCGTTTCCTTCGTAGACGTAATTTAAAAAAAAACAAGTTAAAGTTCAAGAAATGCTTTCCTTTTATTGAAATACTTTTACACTTAATTATATTACTATTTTTAGTTCATACGATGTGCCAGTAGCGGAACATAAATACTATTGCGCATAAATTGATATTAGCTCATGAGAAGGCGTCAAATTTGGCGAGGGGTGAGAGGGGCTATCGAGGTCGCTCGGGTGTGCATGCAGATGATAAGATTAACGAATTGCGTAAGTTAGTGCGAAGCAAGGTGACGGAGGGTCGACGACTTACGCCGAGGAGCCTTGGGCGAAGTTCTATGTGGCTCGACCTCTAAGCGACATAAATATCGCGCATATAGTTTATATTAGTTATAATTTTTTTATTTATATTTGAAAATTGTTAAAGTAATAGTAATCATATTTTAGATCCGAAAATCTATTTAAAAGTTTATTTGACACTAATAAATTATTAAAAAAGGTCACCTTAAAAGATTGATGATTCATTTAAAACAATATCATTAGTCATATTAATTGAAACTGTTTAAATTAATTATTTTTTATCCATAATTTTTTTTATATTTAATTTTTTATATAAAAATTTAATTTAGCGTTATTTCAATGTTATTTTATAATATTACGTAAAACTGTTTTTTTTTAACTTAAACGATAAATTTATCGTGACTATGGCAATTATGATAATGCTGAAGGGTGGGGATATAAAAATATTAAAAAAGTATCACGTGTAGCTATCAATAAATGTTATAGTGACTGTGTAAATTTATTTTATCACATTATGCAGTTATGTATGTAATAATGTAACTCAATATTATAACATTACGATAAATTGTAAAAAGGTCGAAACTTTTGGAAACAATGAACTGAATATTAAATAATTATCATTTTATATATATATATATATATATATATATATATATATATATATATATATATATATATATATATATATATATATATATATATATATATATATATAGAGTAAAATATGTTTTATTATATGGCGGAAGTACCAAATTGCACCCGAACGAAGCGATGCACGATGATAGGTGAGTGGCTTGAGTATCTAACAGAAGGTTACATTCGCACTCCTTTAACATCTCTTCCCAAAACGAAGTGTTATATGCACATTCGTGAAAAGGCCTGAGCTAATTTTAAACATATTTTGATTAAATATTTTTATCCAGAACAAAAAAAAATATTTGTCAAAAAAAAATGATCTTAAATGATTATTTTAAATAAATTATAAAACAAAGAAATAAATATATTTTTCTTCTTTTTGATTTTTATATTTAAAAACTTCACCAATTTTACGAATTTAAAGATTTTATTACGTTACAATTTTATTATACGAAAATTAGAAAAAATATCTTAATATAAGTTTAATAAACTTTCACTTATAATAAAATATTTTTTCTAATTTTCGTATAATAAAATCTTTAAATGCTCTAAAATTGATGAAGTTTATATATATATATGTATATATATGTATATATATATATATATATATATATAATAGATAATACACAGTCTAATCTGCTAACTATGACTACGCTTATAATGACCAAAGTTTTAATATGACGTAGGTACCTACATATATATTATGTGAAACTTAGTTTCCATACAAAATTTTATCAAACAGGTTCGAATATGATGACGCGCTTACAAATGACATATTGCTTATAATATTCTTATTATAAGCAATGTTGTTAATTATTTTTCTAACACTTTAGCATAATACCACAGTATGCCTTTTTATGATTATTATTCGATTGGAGTTATTAGTCTAAGTCATTACTTAAAATTTAAATTAAGAAATTTCCTTTACTTTAAAATGAAACCAACTTTAATTTGGTTGCGTTTAATAGATTTTCGGCTTTTTTATTAAAAAATCATAATTAAGAGTATGCAGAAACAATAAAAAAATCTGCACTTAAACCCGCGGGTTCAAAACCTAATCGCTATATGTTTAATGCATATTACTATTTTTTATAAGTCTATATATTATTTTTTATATATTATATTATAAATATAATAAAAATTATACAACAACAACTTATAGAAGTAGCGCCTTTCGGTTTTCCTATAACCTTCGCAGACACGTGCACAATAACTGACCAAAGTTTCTTCACAACTAGATAGATGTTTTGAGAAAACATACTCGTACATTGAAACAAACCAACAATTGTTTTTATATATACAGGTAAATTTTATGAGAATGTAATAATTAATGGGTGGCAGCTTATATATTGCAATCCATAGTACGCTTTAAAATTGTATGTAATTGGTAGAATACAATATTATGTTAAATTATTAATTTTAAATTAAATCATTTCAAGTAGTCATAAGAGTTTTGTGAATATAAAGCCATATTGAAATCAATTAGAATAGAACGTATACTTTGGAATATAAAATATTTTTTTATATATTTGTAAAAAAAGAATAAATAAATATGTTGGGACATTGACACACAGCACCATCTAGTTCCATGGTAAGCACAAAGTTTGTGTTATGGATACCAGATGGTTGATACACTACATATATATAACTTTAAATACGTACACATTATAACTATAAACACCCATGACTGGAGTACAAACGTTCGTGCTCATCACACAAATGAATGCTCCCAGCGGGACTCCAACCCGCGACCGCTAGCAAAGCAAGTCACTACAAACTGAGCCAAACGTGTCGTCAGTATGTCGAATATTAGCTGATCTTTGCGAATTAAAATATAAAATGGCATATAACATTTTAATATAACTAGATTAAGTTCACCGATCACGTAGTATACGAGCACTCGAACACTCGGCCAAAAGAGCAACGACCGTCCCTTTCGATCTATCGTTGTACTCCGTTGTATACTATCAATTAGGGTGTTAGTACATTCTATTCACGAGTCTTTAGATTGCATGCCGCAATATGTTTCTCGTCAGGTTTACTTTCACGTTTTTGGAAAAACCTTAAAAATTACTATAATAATAAACTCAATTTCGCTCTTTAATTTTTGTTGTTGTCATACCTACATATGTAGAAAATTATATGATGATTTATAAGTTTCGATTAATGTACTATTTTTTATGTAATATAAAATTAATGGAATTAATAATTGAAAAAAAAACAATTAAATGTTTTTTTAAATATTTTTTTATTTATATACTTATTAAAAGTTACCAAAAGAAACTACTATGCTTGGCCATGTGTTGAAAACATTTTTAATCAATTGAAACAAATGAAACGGTTACATATTTTTTCTTATAACCTGATAGTAGGTCGTTATCTATACAGAAATTTATCTATACAGATAAATAAAATTGAAGTTTCAGTTTGTAATGTCAAAATAACAGCTTTTTACTAAATGTTACGAAAATATAGCTATTTCTACGCGACATTGGCGAAGTAAATTGTGCCCAAAGGCACTCCTAGAAGCCACAAACCTAAAGAATTGAATTGAATTGAATATAGCTATACGGTAAATATTAAAAAAACTCAATTTTTAAATTTTTTGTCTGTCTGTTTGTTCCAACTAAACCCCGAAACGGCTGGACTGATTTTTACGGGACTTTCACTGGCAGATGCAGCTGTTGTTATAAGGAGTAACTTAGGCTACTTTTTTTTACCTTAGAAAAAGAATTATGGTTCCGCTCATTAAAACGTATCTAAGGACGCACCCGAGCGAGGCGAGAGTAAATCGCTAATTAGACATAACACTAGTTTCCTCATGTGTGATACTATATATTATAGTAATCTTACTATGTAGGCTTATTTTGCAATAAATCATAAACAGTAACAGCTGGACAATATCGTGAATCATAATTGATAGAAGTCAATTATATTGACAGGCGTGATGCTTTAGAACCTTTAAATATGGTTATTATTATATTACGATACACTATCCCTACCTAAAACTTCTTCTTCTTCTTCCGTCCATTTCCCAAATTACTTGGGGTCGGCGTAGTACGCCTACCAAAAAAAAAGTACGTCTACCATAAAATCCCTTCCTAAAACTATAAGGTACTTTTTACTTTATTAGTACCTCTTCTGAGGTTTCTACTTCATCTCTCGACCATAGCCAAACTTATAAATTATTCAAGCTACTGTTTTCTTACATACCTCAGAGCTTAGACAAACTGACTCTCTACAATCGATATCGTGAAACCGATTACAATGGCCTTCTTATGGGTATATTCCTTGTAAGGCTAAATGAAGTTTTAAAATAAAATTATTTAAAGCATGATTATAAGCAATAATATTATGAACTTATACTTTGATTTTCCTTTCCCGATACGTATTTACAATAGTCCGGGATCCCTGATCCATTCTTACAATTAATTAGTATCAAGCTAATTTTCCGTAAGTAGCTTTGATGAGACGCCCAACTTTTTCTCTTACAAAAAATCACGATTGTAGAGGGGTAGCAGGAATAAAATAATCGATTTGACGATTCTCAAAAATTTATTACTAAATGTGGTTTGTTTTTGTTGAATCTCAAGATAGTCATCTACATTATACGAATAAATATTTGTCCTGCAAAATATATGGTTCGGTCAAATTATGAAGGTATGTCAAAAAGTTATCACTATACAAAGTTTTGTTAAAAATCAGTTTTGCGCAAACCGAACACACACAAACAGACAATTTTTTTAATAACGATTGTTTTGGGGTCTATATTCACAATACGTTATAGTCATTGTTTTTAAAAATATTTTATG